AGCAGTACACGTAGCACTGCCGTCCGGGGGGGGGGCCTATTTTGCTATTTCTTGGTACCACCAGTTTCCATGAAACAGTTGATGTGTCCTTTATGCAATTAAGGGCCCTTGGATGATGGGTTAGTTCAAGTGAAATTACGAGGCAAAATCCGTCGCGTACAAACACACAGCCCCAGGCTGGGCTGTGCGCCTGCAGCGTGAACACGTCGCAGCTCTGCCGAGCCATGCGCCAAGCTTGCAGCAGTCATTGTCCTTAACCGACATGACCCCCTAAGTTACATCCCCCTCTCTGCATGTGATGAATCTTATCATCTGTGTTTGATTTTTTGCTCTCACTTGCAGAAAACAGACGTGCAGGCGCATAAAACAGCCCCTCTTACCATGCCTGTTGGCAGGCCCTTCCTCGGCATGCCCTGAGAGGACCACATCCATCGGGACTGTGCGCAAGATTCCTTTCCTTCAGGTGGAAAACGCCCTGCAAGTGGAAAGCCGAGCACGCTGGCTCGCGTGAGGCTTGTGCTACAGGGCTTTACCGCAGGGATTTACCATTAGCTCAGAGCAGCAGGAACAGGGCTGAGGGGAGGAATGGAGCGGCTGGCCTCCTTCAGCAGTAAGTTCCCAAAGCCAGGATTTGGAAAGGACTTGCCCTTTTTTAAAGGTGTCAGGAGTTGGCTGGCGGAGGGTGACAGAAAAGTAGTGATATGTGGTCCATAGGGTCACCTCTTTGATGAAATTCTCAAAGCACAGTATATGATTTATTTGGTGGGATTTGGAGTCTTTTTTTCCTGTCTATTTGTTATAGTCGGACTTTTTTATGGGAAGAAGGAGTTATGGCTCATATTACTTGTCAGCCTGTTTCATTTGACTACTCTGCAGTGAACAAAATAAGAAAAACTTGTAAAGCAGTGTTTCATTCCTTGTTCAGCAATTTGAGCAGAGCTTGAGGTTTGGATGGGTTTCAGAGCAGCACAGCCCAGGCCTCCGCAACCACAGCAGGAAGCTTTTCAGGTCAGACCTGAGGCAGATGGATGAGAAACTAGAGATGTCCTTGCGGGATCCTCCGTAAGCTCCCCGGGACTTGTCTTCAGTGCAAAACATGACCACAGGCATGGGATCAAATCATGCGCCTTGCACAGCTCCTTGCATCACTGCAGAGAAATAGCAGTAGGCTGCTACAGAGAGGGCTTTGCTTTGACTTCCTTGCACAATATTAGGCTAATGAGCCCTTGGTGTTTTAGGTCTAGTAGAGAAATGCCAGCATCTTGCTGGGGTGGAACTAGATGATCTCCAAAGATTCTGTGATCTTTCTAGCAGCTTTAGTTAAGCAAGGAATTTTCAACAGATATTTGGAGAAGCTCTGGTAGAAAAGAGGTTGTATTCAGGTGACTTCATTTTAAGTTATTAAAATTATAGGCTGCAAGTGAATTTGAATGATTGCAAGAACAGTGTCACATCTGTGTCGCATGACATTTACCCGTTGGCTTCACAGATGACCCTTTCGATAAGCCGCCGTGCCGAGGCTGCTCCTCTTACCTCACCGAGCCCTACGTCAAGTGTGCCGAGTGTGGGCCTCCTCCCTTCCTCCTGTGTTTGCAGGTGAGTGCAAGGATAAAAGTGCACACATTCATTTCTTTGAGAAAGCCATCAAAGGCCTGTCTGATGCCAGGCTGCTATGTAAACACATTAATAACTGGTCTCTGTAAACTTGTATCAAAGCACATATTTGCTCAGGGACAGGGAAATGACAAAGAAAGTGTTGGAGCCTGAAGGATTTAACTTGAGCAGCTGAAGGAGAGAGGTCTTTGAAAAGGCAGCCAGAGCTACCCGAAGACACGCAGTCCGCCTGGCTGTGTGAGGGAGCATGCTGCTGCACGTCTAGAGACTATCATTTCTGTCATTTCTTCTGAAAAAACCACAAGAAACATCCTCTCCAGCCATTGGAAAACATACCACTAAGCTTCTTTCACCTGCCTAAGAGTGTGTAGGTTCACAGTTATGTGCTGGTGCAAATAATCAATAAGATATGAACTACAAACACAGATTAACACACTTTAACACAGATTTTTTTACCTTCCTATAACATGAAATCAAATAGCATAATGCCAGTCTCTTGTTTTACAGTGTTTCACACGAGGATTTGAATATAAGAAACATCAGAGTGACCATACTTATGAAATAATGGTAAATATTCTTTTTAGACTACATTTACTCTATCTTGGTCTTCTATAACTTTTACAGGAGTTAGACCCTTTTCTGCTTACATTAAAAAGTTCAAATGGTACAGTACTTTGTACTGTGAATGATACTATTTTGTACTGTAATTGATGACCCAGTGACCTAAATAATTCAACAATTATTTGATCAGATTTGCTGGGACACAGCAGAAGATTTTAAAATGACATGTCTTGCTGTTTGGAATATAGAACTACCTTGCTCTTCGAGTGGTGATTTTTAACAGAGGATCACAAAAGTTAGATTTGTTTTTTTTTCTTCCGTAGACTTCAGATTTCCCTGTCTTGGATCCTAACTGGACAGCTCAAGAGGAAATGGCTCTCCTCGAAGCTGTGATGGACTGTGGATTTGGGAACTGGTGAGAATTTAATGCTTTAGACGGTTTCAGTGAAATGATGGGAAATTTCATTTACTCTTGGATACTTTGGTGCACAGCAGAGTCTGTGACTTGTCATGGGTAAGACACTAACTGGGCAGTTAAAGCAGATTTTGTTCTCAATGCTGCTATTAGAAATACAAAGAGGTTGTTAAAGGCCTCATCCTGTGAGATGATAAGCACCTCCCACGAGGAAAAACAGCTCCCTCAAATTACATCAAAGTCACTAGATTCCAAAGAAACTCAACTATTGCTCGGGATTTGCTGTGCATCATTTTACTCCTACGTGAAAAATCAACTGCCGAGCTTCTCATTTTGGGTAGTTTTGGTTTGATTACAGTCAGCTGACAAAGTACTGTCTTTTTTTTTTGTGCTTCGGGTTTCTCTGTCATGTAAAGAACAAAGCATTGAAGATACATAATACTTTTATATTATTTTTTGATTTGGTAATACCTGCGGTCACTACAGAATTTAACTACATTTATAAATAGAGCAGATCTGTAGTCTCGAGGTCTCTCTGCACCTCTGTGAAAAGATTGATGTATTGAAAATTCAGAGCTCCAATCTTTACTACAACAGAGCTGTGGGTTCTTGTGTGTACGCTGTGGGTGTAATTAAGGTGTAATTAAGGCTATCACAAATTTATTCTCCATGTGCAACGCGTTTAGTCTACTGTCCAAAATTATCCTCTTTCCACTAAAGAGAAGAGAAAATGCATAACATTTCTGTGTTCTCCATGTTAACCTCCCTTCAGGCAGGATGTAGCCAATCAGATGTGCACCAAATCCAAGGAGGAGTGTGAGAAGCACTACATGAAACACTTCATCAACAACCCCCTGTTTGCATCTACGTTACTGAACCTGAAGCAGGCAGAGGAGGCGCAGCACAACGAGACAGCCATTCCGTTCCACCGTGAGTACCCCGGCCTGCCAAGGAGCCTCCTGCCAGGTGCCCTGCGCTCCCAGAACGGGAGTGAGCAGCCTCTGCGCAAGGGTGTCCAGCACACACGTAGGTTGCTTTTATTCCCAGAAAGGGAGCTTGTTCTGATGGCTAACTTAAACAATGTTAGGGTTTTCTGTACACTGTACTAAAACACTGATGTAGCAAATACTGGCGACAAAACCCCATCTTTAAACTGTCCTGACTTCACTACTCTCTTCTAAATGCATTTTAAAAATACATGTTAAATTTCAGCAATTTACCTATTTTTCAGTTTTCCTTAAATTTAACGTCTGTAGAATGGCCACCAATCTAGCAGCTGTTCCATTTATAAAGCTCACAGAAATGGCTGAATAAAAAGACTACCATAGTATCTCAAGGTTTAAATTTCATGATAAAGTGTTTAGAGCTAAAGCAGTAGGAACTGGACAATTTTGGTTCTATCCCTAGCTGTCATTGATTTTTTTTATGTGACCTGGGGCAAGACAAATTCTCTATGCCTTTGCTTACTTTATCTGTAACACGGGGCTTATAAAGCTTACCTCCTTCACAAGTGTGTGGTGAGTCTTGGTCCATTATTGTCGGCAAAGCACCAGGATCCTCAGTTGGGAAGTGCTGTAAAAAAGGAGAGTTCTGTAGCTTTAATTGCAGCTCTTTGTAAACGACCCCCAGGAGATGGCAGCTTTAACACCACTATTGCTATTAAGTAAAGGAACTTTCACACTGAGACTGATGTGCAGAGGTTTACTGAGGGGATGCTGAGCTCTGAAATGTAGAATTTACATTTTATAGCCTATTTATTACCTCGAATTTTTGAGTTTGACTTTCGAGAATGCTCTGAACACCTCAGACTAGTGCATTTTTCTCCTCTCGAACTTGGTCTTTTTCTGACTATAACCCTGCGTAACAGCCCAATCGGGCTGTTTTTCTTAGACTAATTATTCCCTCTTTTTCCAGCATAAGAAATACCTATTTATAGAATTGTGTTCTCTTTCTGAATTAAAAAAAAA